CTTCCAACAAGCAGCAAGGATGTGCAACCATCCTGAGAAGTGTGAAAATAACAGTTACAGTAAGTCCCGAGCCCACACAGTCACTAGAATATCATATAAAATGGAAAAGGCAACCACTTACAAACCAATTAACAGCAAAACTGCCTGTTTTAGAGGAAAGTCGGGAGGAGGGGAGGAGTTGAATTCCCTTCAGGTGATTAAAAGCTATTACTCAAACAAACTAATTTTAAGATAATACACTCAACCCAATGTATTTTGGTTCTGTCGACTAATGTGGGAGGATGTGCCAATTGATTAAAAAAAATATAGCTGCACATACTGTATCTGGAACAAAACACCCTAATAGAAAAAGTCACATGCTAACAATCCAGCTATTAACGCATTAGATCAGGAGTAGGCAAACTGCTATGTTCTGATGTACATAAATATATACACACAGAGCCAATCACACACACTAATCCATTTTATCATAAAGGGGTTTAAATGAGGTAAGGTTTTTGGGTCCATGTTGAGATCACCTTGAGGTGGAACAATTTACAAAAAGGTTTTTCGGCAAATATTTGAGATCTGAGTCACTGACGTCTAGACAACTACTGCATCTTTGGAGCCAAGGATGTATAGGGAGGTATGCTGTGATGGCATGCGTAGGTGTGTGCAAGGCTAAAAAGTTGAGGAGCACAAGGCACTATTCCCTGCTGAAAACAGTGTAAAGCCCTGTGTGTTGTTTGGTATCTGATTTGATCAAGAACACCTGTGTGTTAAAAACTGTGCACAATGTGTGGTGCGTGTCCACGTGGGAAGTTCATTAGCGGCAGTACACTCGGAGCGATGCAGTCCTACAGTCCAGTGAAGAGTCGTTTTGACTGAGGGTGAGGAGAGTTGAGCGGGGAAGCACAGAGGGGAAACGAGGATGGGAGGTTGGAGTCCAGCCCCTGTAGTCTATGGCAAAGTGAACAGGAAGCTCTCTCAAAAGTCTCAGTCCATTCCCAGAAGGCTGCTGCTGAGCTCCAGGCCACAGCATGATGGCTCTACCGGAGGGTCAGAGAGAGCAGAGGAGCACGGCGAAGGGGGAAGGGGAGGATGAGAAATTTGGACTTCTGGGGGGGGGGGGTCCACTGCTCTTTTCTACCCCTGGGTGACGAGTGTGAGCCAATTCTGGGCCGTGGTGGCATCGCTCATCATCTGGCAGCAGATTGAGACTGTGAAGCCATGATAATGTGAGAGGGTCCACTCTCAGCCCTCTGGTGCTGGCCCATTCCTGCCAGCACGGACATAGCCATGGCCTCAGCTGCTGCCCTTGAGCTCAGGCCGTTGTGCCCTGCAGAGGGGCTGGGCGCCAAAGAGCTGTGCTGGATAACCGGGGCAGGGGAACCTGTGGGCTCTGAGGTGTCTTTCATGCTCTCCTCTGCAGCTGCACAAAAAACAAAGACAACACAAATACAGACTTAAATGTAAACTGGCAAAAGCCTTAAAAAATAAACGTAAGAGGCTACCAGGTGAGAAACGTGTATTAATTATAAAAAGGTTCACCTAAGTAGGCGGTCTTTTTCTGTAGGTTGGTCACAGGACAGTCCTTGTGGGCCAGCAGCAGCTGCTTCAAATGAGCCACCTCGTTCCGCAACAGAGACACTTCATTCTGCAGGATCAGAAAATAAGGACGTATGAACACTTTTAAATAATTCATAGTTTATATCATAGTTGGGTAGACATACAGTATACCCAAATTTAAAAGCATTACTAACGCTGGCTTGTATAACTCAAACCAGGGAGACTTTCCAAATGTTTTCACTTAATTGATTTTTTTATGATTTCCAGCTAGGAAATGCTCTAAAGGGGTAAACAGTCTGTTTTCCACTACAGTACAGCTGGCAGTGGAAAAGTGGTTTTGCGGTGTAAAAATAACCTGCAACCACCAAATAACACAATAAAGATGTGAAACAAATTTTAATGAGTTCCATGGGTACAAGTCCTGTAACATCACCCTTTTGCAAATTCACCCTGAAACTGTGGTAATCTGGAAAACACCTCACAAACATTCTAATTCATTCTCTCAAACAACTAGCTGAAAGCCTCTCAACTGGGTGCACTCAGGGTGATTATGCACACATTAACACAGGCCTCCCACAAGCCATGTTTCAACCCCACCCACCCGCTCCAAACCCACTCACCGACAGTGAGACGTTCAGATTGCAGAGCTCCTCAGCCTTCTTCTCTAGGGAACTGACCCAAAGTTTGCGTTTCTGTCTGCAGCGCGATGCTGCGGCCCGATTCCTCTCGAGAAAGCGCTGCCTTCGCTCGTCCGGGTCATCGTCTACCGTCCGCCGCCGACGCCCACCTGTAGGCTGTGCTGGAGATACCTAGAGGAAGAACAGGGGAAAGGGTGAGAAGGAAACAGACAGTCAGGGGACGGCAGGGGAGGGGAGGGGAGGGGAAGAAAGACGAGAGAGAAAAGGGAAGTTTGAGTCATAGTTTCATTATTTCAGTCAGAGCACATTATAGTCATCTCGCTACCAGAAGTACAGCCCCAGTGTTCTGTAACAGAAACAGGTGCTATGTCATATATCAAAAATGTTTTAACTTTTGGTAATTTTCTGAGATTTCCCAAATTTAAATGACATTGAAAATCAGCACAGGCCCTCAACTATAGGCAACACGGTGTACCTGAGGTTGTGCAGGTGATGGAGCATCTGGCTGTTGGACAAGCAGCTGGCTCTGCTCTGCCCTTTGAGGTACCATGGGGCTGCTGCCCATGGCCATGACTCCCATACTATGTCCTGACGGACTCTGCTGTGACAGCGCAGCCTTTAGACGCTACATGAGAACAATGATATGACCAACATTAGCCCAAAGCAACAGTATAATCAGTGTAATCTAAATATAAAAGAAACGACTTTATCATTACAGAAAAGGTCTAAGCACTGAAAAGGCAAAGACGGCAACGACGCAGCAGGTCAGATTCAAAAGCAATAGCTCTACAATTTTTTTTGCATCCATCAAGATTGTACTAAATTGAATCCATGTTAACAATCAACTCATTTACAGTATCGGCAACAACCTGGCCTAAACCTTTGTTACTAATCTTCAATGCAGCCTAACGCACGCTGTTCATCACTTATGCACCAGATGTATTGTGTGATGACACCTGATTTATTACATGTTTGTGCTGCCATATTCTGCTGCATACAGACTATCCTTATGTTACATGCAACAAATGTTTTCTGCTAGATCTATGATGCTTTCACATCAACATAATCAAATACGCACAGGTTGTACAGGCCTTTGTCTCTGGAAAAACCTGAATTCTCTGAGCCATGAATTTGAACAGGTGTTTCATATTTGTGTATATTCCAGTGTGTAATATTTAGGCTGTATTGGCAGAAATGGAATATAATATGCATAACTATGTTTTAATTCGTGTACAATCTCCTAGTAATTGTCATGTTTTTGTTACCTTAAAATGAGCTGTTTATATTGCCATCCGTGCAGTCCACCATGTTTTTCACGTGTTTTGCTACCACCGTCTACTTCGCACTTGGAAAGGGAAGGTGAAGCGACAGAGTGGCAATCTGCACTGGTAAATGCCACTAAATCCTACACACTGGAGCTTTAAGTTAACACTTTAACTTTACACACTGGAGCCCTTATTTAACATTTCTGCAAAGATCTTTGCCCTGGCCTGACATTGTCACACAGTTCCAGCTTGTGTTCATGTGACATCCTGTTCTGCCTCAACACGTTTGTATTGGCTTCAGAGATGGAGGCTTTGTAGCTGATGTGAGTCAACCAAAGTTATATGTTCCTGGAACAAGTTACTGATGATGCTGTTGATGTTGTGTGACTCTACACTTGGGTAAGTGTCTGAAGTCTCAATGCTTACTGTAGAGTAAACTGTTTACTATATAGAGAGTAGTGAATGAGTTAACCCATGTCCCGTGTGTGATAACATATACCCCTAGCCTTCATTTTCACCAATTATCTTCCACTTGTAACTGAAGGAGCAAGCAGTTTGTGTAAATAATCTGCTAAAGTGGATACTTTGTGTATGTTGTAATACTAAAAACCATGTCCACAACTAGCTCGGTTTCATCTGAAATACAACTGATATGTAGGATCTTGCACAGAGCTCTGTCTGTACTTTGCGGTATAAATTCAGCACAAATTGTGGTGTTGAGACGTAAGAGTTAAATAAACAAGTAACTGCAGTAAAAAGTCATATGATGAACAAACTAAGCCAGTACAGAGGAGGGCTGGAGGGTGAAGATGGAGACAAAAAGAACAGATAAAAAGATAAAAATAACAAGCTAATCTAGTGCTGACCATCTTGGCCTCTGAGTGCATGCTGTAGCCAGAGGGAGAGTTAGAGCCGCTGCTGCTGCCTCCCAGAGGAGGACCGGGGATCCCAGGAATGTTGGGTACCATGCACATAGGTCGGGCCAGCTGGAGAGCAGATAAAACACACAGACACACATGTTTTAATAACTTGAACCAACTCCGTAACTATAAAACTGAATTTAGACTGTTGGTCTGCCTTACATTAATGACACTCTGTACTGGACCAGGGAGCACAGGCACTGCCTGACCAGAGGGAAGCATCATCATTGGGTAGTGGCTGGTTGGTGAACTAGACAAGCAGACAACAGAGGGACAACAGGAACAGGAGGTTTCGTCATGTTTGTTTAAACTCCCAAGTTTCTGTAACATAGCAACTACTTAGGAAACAATTATCCACACCTATTAGTCCAAACTGTGCTTTAAAGTTTTTAAAGAAACAACATGTGTCAGTTTATTCATGGGGAAACATTTAAAAAGATGCACAAAACAAACAACATATTTCAATTTGTGCAGCCACAAAAAACATGATCATCTTAGCTTTGTAGCGTTCACTCATAAACATCATATTGGTTCAACATAATGTTGGAACCAGCAGATAGAGAATATACATATGATATTGTAATCAAGACATGTGGAATACTTTAAAGCTACTTAAAGGAATTTTTAAAAGGCAAATCAGGGTTAAAGAGGTTCAGCAGAGGTCAGTAGAAGGACGCTGAACTTTACTCACCCCAGAGTACGATTGGAAGGTGGTGCCTGTGTGATGACAGAGGTGGGTGATGGCATGGTAGGCTGAAGGGCATCAAAGCCCAAGTGTAGTGGGAGGGAACCTGGACGCACAATTGTCGGGGTGGGGGCTGAACTCCTGGGTGGTGTGTCCTAGGAGTGGATAAAAAAAATAGTTAAAACAGAGCTTTCAGTTGTCAAACTAAAGACACAATATTTCAATGTGAATTTCAATCCCAGAGAAAAAAGCCAATATTATTCACTTCAAAGTGCATTCATGTAATACTGCAAATGTAATGATGACGTGCATTATGATCCATACTCTTCCCCCCTCTTCCCTATACAATTATGCAATCCTCCCTCCTCCCATGTCTGTCCTACCTTTCCTCTAACCAGAAGCTCTCCGCTGCTGTCTGACCTTCCAGAGATGGATTCAGGGCTCTCTGGTGGCGAGGAGTCGACCTCTACAGGTGCTTCTTTTTTCACCTTCACGTCCGATGTCGTCTGCAGGCTCATGTCCAAAGCCACAGAGTTGGGTGCAGGATGCTGAGATGGACAAAGACAGTGAGAGATAAAGAGTCTAAGTTCACACTACTTATCAACGATAAGAGAACATACACAACAGTACATTAAAAAAAGGGAAGTGTGCATTAATGGTATTCATCACACAAACCAAACGACCACAACATTATTTTACGAAAACACTATTTTAAGCGCAACGCACAGTTATGATCATAATAAAATCATCTTTACAAGCAGTTGCAATAGGTTGAATGATAATAATACACAGTGCACAAGGCAGGAAATTCTGCAGACAATCGTTTTTGACTGCATCGACATTTGAGGTAAGAAATAAGGAAGTAAGTAATTTATCACTACGTGGGAGTTTTTGCACAAAATTCCACTGGTTTCTATTCATATTAATGTGTGAAGGCACACACACACACACACACACACACACACACACACACAGATGAAAACAGACAACAGCAAGCTTTTCTTACAGAGTTCTTTGCTCTCTTGTCATCGTCGTCTTGTTCGAAGGAGCTGGCCAGCTCATTGAACAGACCAACCTCCTCGCAGTTCTTTAGGAAGCGGGTGGGAGTAGGTGTCTGGTCTGGCAAAAGGGAATGAACACATAACTATTCAAAGTAACGCTGTCGCACGCAGTTCACACTTAGCATTGAATATAGAAACCGTGTCATTAATGTGTCTTTGGAGCTGCTTTTCTTGAGATAGTACTAATAGTGTTGGAACACACTGACACTGAGGTATGCTAAACAGTCTTCATCTGAATGCTGGGACAGGATATTTAACAAAGAGGATGAGTAAAGCTGTGTGTTCATCACACTGACAAACAGTACCTGCAATAATGACAGAGTCTGTCCTGGCTGGTCCAAATTTCAATGTCATCTCGTGCTTGTGTTTGTGTACAGCCAAGTGGTCCTCATTGGTAAACCTCTGGAACAAGTGAACAAGAAGATAAGAGGAAAGATAAGCACATTATATGAAGCAGCCTACAGGTAATTTGTCCTGGTGATCTGTAGTAAATTAACTTAACCCAGATATCATATTGCAATAATCTCTTTTTAGATGTAACCCAGTGCATACAGCCTATACTATGTACATTATGTGACAAACCATAAAGAAAACTGTATCTGTGGTGTACAATTCCTCATGTCTCAAAAGCCCTGTATGGGCCCATTCTAGCCGCAGGACATGGGCTCAAATATCTTAGCACAAACTAGAATTATCTAGAAAAAGAAAAAGGGCTTGTATGGATTACAGCTGAAATGATTTTAACAGCAAAGAAATGTAGGGAATGAAAATATTAACAAATTGATGAAGTATAAAACCCACTGGCACAAATAAATACCAAAAGTACATGAACGGACAAACCAAAACAGATGCTACAAATGCAAATGCCTTTTTACAGAAGAGAACACAGTGTTGTCAAACTAGTCAGTGTGTAGAATGGCTGATGCCATAAGTGCAGAAAAGCTCTGGGGGAACCTACGTTCTGTTATTTCCTATCAGTTATCCACAGTGGAAGCTACAGGAGATCTGGCACATGGACAAATCAGACCTTTACAAGACAGCACCGACAGTCATCGTCTGAGACACGGCACTTCTTTGGAGAAGTGGCGAGGTGAATCAGTCAGAGGCGGAGGAGGAATAATCTGGGCTCTGGCACCAGCCTATTCACCATTCGCTGTAGCCTATTTTGGGGCACTGCGTTGCAGTTGCGAGTTCAGTCGTGAGAGAGTGAAGTGGAAACACAGTCAAGTGTCAGGGGGCTTATTTTTAGCCCTACCAGGCAGCATCACCAATACAACTGCATGTCTGATTTGTCTCTTTCCTCTGAACAAGGCGGCTGGGTCTTGTGGAGGAAACTATCTCCAACTAATCTCTGTGTATGAGATACTGGCAGCTAGGATTACCTCTCTCCACACAGTGAATACTGGGGGGCTGTTTGTGTTGTTGTTGTTGTTGTTGTTAACCTGGTAAGAGGAAAACCCTGAGCAAAGCCAGGAGTCAATCATCCTCGTTCTATTATGGACATGACGCAGACTTTCCTGGTAGACAACTGTTGCTTGTAAACGGCAGCAGTAAAACGGCATTTGGTCATACGGCACTTTTTTCTGTGTCTAAATGTACACAAACAAATATCATCAACAATGATATATATAAACTCAGCACATGTCTAAGCTAATATGCAGAACTGAGTATTGAACCTCAAGTATTACCCAAGTATTGAAAACTAGTTTTTAGTAGAGTAATTCTTAGTAGTTGATCTAAATAAAAATGTTGTCTATGTTAGAACATATTTGATTTAGGTCAATATTTTGTTTAACTGCTTGTGTTTAACATTTAAATCTAATAATCAATGATAACTAATTCATATTTTTACATTGCCAATTGGACTGTGTGTCATTCGGTCGTAGCAACAAACCTGCTGAGAATTATCACCTGACTTTCATTGTTTTTAGGTTTTCTTGCCTGCAACTATACCGTTTTAGTTCAGTCTCACTGCTCTCATCAACTCCAGTTCCAGCTGCAGCAGACAGCTTTGTTCAGTGAAGAAGAATCGGATAAATCCTCTGCCCAGCACTAACTGCAAATTGATACACAAACTTAGCGACCAACGCTAGCTCAAGAACATAGTGGACAATCTGGCAGCTGCAGAGGCAGATATATTTCACTCTGGCAAAGACCAAAACCGAGCAAAAAGAGAGAATATTAGGCTTATATTTACAGTTAAAGACCCACACCGTCGTCAACAACATCTGTCTTGAGAAGCTTCCATATGATTCTGTTGCTTTAACTTCCAACTAAATTAATAATGATATCTACAAATGAAATATGCAGAGTATTTACATCACAGAAACATGTCAAGGAAAGTTAGTTGTTCAAGGAAGAGCTCCCTCGGTGTACATAATGTTCTGAGACAAAAAGCATAGCAAAACAAACAAACGCATCATTTATTTATCTAACACACGCATGTTCAACTGCTTTACAGGCCTGCTGTTCGAACCGCAACTCCCATGTACAACAGACCACGTCTATATCAGAGAATGCAAGACGGCTTGTGAATCACAAATGTTTCTTAACCACGTAAACACTTTCTTCCTCCAGACCCCAGGAGAGAAAATCCATCACCAGCTCTCTCACGCCCAGACGAACAAAGCATCAGACAGCTAATTGAGCACAACATCAGACATGATATTTCCTGCGTTGAATAATCACGAGTCCTTGAACACACTTCTTTCAATTTGCTGTGATATCAGGCCAACCCCCCGACTATACACCACGTTACTGGCATGTGAGTGCACTATTGGCGCTCAGCTGAGTCACTGCCGGGGCTCAAACCTGTGTCTGCAGGCGCTACAAGTCAACAGTGACAGGTTGAAACAATAACTATGCTATGATTACTCACTGGAGCTTCCAGTGAGTCATTGCTAAAGGAGACAGCATTGTCTCACAAGGCAGCGTGTTAGCTTGAATGCTACGTGAGTGATGATCATTAAGCGTGTTGCATAAATCACTGCCAGTTAGTTTATTTTGGCAGTGAGTCCGAGCATGATAGCAGACCAGAAGTCGCGTTTATCAGCTTCTCTCATTGTAAGTGTGAAGCTTTATTCTCCTCAAATCAAGCCTTTTAAAGTCTTTTTTCTTGTGCTTTCAATTAATTTTCTATTAGAAGCAACACTTCAATCATAAGCTGTTACAGTCAACTGCTGGAAAGTACGTACATGAACACAAAAATAGCCCACACCACACAGATATGCACACACATGAAACCCAGGACAAGGAGGCAGAAGACTTACCTGTCCACAGCCCGGAGCATTGCACACAAAAGGTCGGTCGTCCCCCATTTTTGCAAAGAGCTTGCAATGTAACTGTGGGAGAGGAGAAGAGGAGAACATTGCTGCGGCTTTTTCTTGATTGGTGAACTGGCAAATCCTGAAAACAACAAAACTGGGATGCTGTGGCTTGTAGTCTTTAGTCTGAGCAGGAAGCCGAATGGTATTTAAAAATAACCCTGGCAAGGAGGAAAACATGCACAGAGGCAGCGAGACGAAGTTTCCCTGGTGATACTTCCTTCACACAGGGGGGATTCTGGTTGGCCAATGAGGAGCCGCTTGCAGGAGAGAACGACAGCTACCGTTTACACAAAGACATGTCCCTCTCCTTCTGTCTCATTTTCCTTCACTTCCAATCCCTCCTTCTCTCATTACCACTCCCTCTCCTCACCTCCCAAGCACCTCCCTACCTTTTACCTTCTTGCACCTCTCATTCAACCTCTCCCTCTCTCAGCTGTTTCTCTCGGCCTTTTTCCCTCAAGCGGCTCCACAACGCAAATATCTTGAAATAGGCACATTCACACTGACCTGACACTGTATCTCACTTTGTTGTCCTGAGTAACTCCAAGTCCTTACTGGAGCCATGGAAGACCAGCTGATGGGGATCCTAACAAATAAACAAACCTTGCTTTTTCTGTCTCGAGATACAAATGACTGAGAAGGTCCCCAAATGTAACTGATCGTACTGACAAAATTTAATATTACATTTCTTTTACACAGTACATGAATGCCGACAATGTTACGATACAGATAAATATTCTACCTTTGCAAGCTGGTTGCCAAGAAAAAAAATTACAATGAAAATGAAATATTTCATATTAACTGAATTAATAACACTGCTGCTGTAACAGTATGATCTAAAAGAGAGAGAACATAAATTTAATGCCGGTAATTCAAGTTCAAGTTGAATTAACTTAATAATTTAATAATTTAGTTAATTTTATTGTCCAATATTACTGCGGTAACCACAATATGAAGGCTTTTATTGGGGTGCTATTAACGCAGCATAAATATTTGGTAAAACTGTAAAAATAGAGGCACATAAGGATAGCATTGTTGGGCGTTTGAATGCACTGGAAACACTTCCAAAGCTTTCCACAGGACAAGAAGCCAAATACTACATCCCTCTCTTCCTGAATAACGCTATTGTCAAGAGTTAATTATGCACATGCTTGTGTTTGGTTTCTCCTCCTGTTGTGCCTGAAGCTAAGGTGACATAAACTAACGCTGTGCGGGGCTTACAGGTTCTATCAGCTGTTTCCACGGAGCAGAGTGACCCCTCACAAACCCCCTCCACGCCAACCCCGTCCCCGACTCCACCAATCCCCCCGCACTGCTCTGCACAGCTGAACGACACACCATGTGAAGACAAACTGGGAAGTTAGAAAAATAACTTGTCGCTGAATCTAAATCAGTTTAGAGGGGTGGCGATGGACAAGGGACATTAATGTTTTAGCACTCTCAACTGGCCCGAAGTGACGTCTGGCAGCTATTACGCAACAATGTCCCACTGACAGTACAGCGACTACCGACAGGCATCGAGGACCTCGCTGTGTGTATACATGTAGAAACGTTTCAATAAACAAAAGCCACGACTACAGTAACACTGAAGAAGGTTTCGCTCAAACGCAGTCATGATGACTTTAATAATTTAATACTAATCCTATAAAACGTACGTTAGATGCTTTTTGTGATCCTGCACTTTTAACTATGATGATGGCATGACAGCCTCTGCACTTCTGTGTTGTTTAGACTTGTTTGTAAAGCTTGCTTAATCTTGTTCATAAAAAAATAAAAACATAAATCAACTGATGCCATATCCAGCTCTCAGGAATATGTCTATCTATTCCACAAACTGGAAAGCAACATTAGTTTATCAGTTTTAGTTTTGTAATATTGCCGAGTTACTGACCACTCTGCTGTACTTACATGGATTGAGCATGTAGTCTAACATTATTGAGTGGGACAGATTATTCATTATGTTGGCGAGGCATAAATGTCTGAAAGTTTTCCCAATGTTGAAGTCAGTATATTTTCCTCCCTCTTCTCTCCCTCTGCCGAGGACAGCTGCCCCTGAGCCAACACATGATTACTGAGGCCTTGCGCTGGAATACAACGCTCTCCCATGACGCCGGCGCTGTAACAGACCTAACCGTTGTGTCTCTCCGCTCCATGTCTTTATGAGGAAAGAGGTCTGCGTCGTGTTTGCAAGCGAAAGCCCTGTCCCTCTCCGTGCAGATCAAAGGGCCGATGAAGCAGACCTCCCATGCTCTGGAGAAAGGCAACAGGTTGGTGCCAGGGGCCTCACAAAGTGCTTCCAACCCACTGAGTCTATTTGGGCAGAGATGTGTCTGCAAACGAGATACTCCGTCCACCTCGTTATACCGAGGGTGTGGACTACGTGAGGAAATGGACACATCTGGCGTGAGGAGTGGGAACAGATTGCAGAGTTTACATCTTACTAAAGACACGCTAGACATTAACTTGGCTGGCTGGCAGCAACATAAAATGTGGGATTTCCACCATAAATTTTAGATGACAAGGGTGGAAAATAACATTTGTTTACATAGCTGCCCCAACCAATATCACAACCTGATTAAAACAGATGTGTTACGGTATTTTTCTTCAGCATCTAATGCTTAAAGAGGAAGAAGAAGATATACTTTAGCTTTGTGGTAAGACAAACAATGAATGACATCTCAACATCTGTAATCCTCTGCTGGGTCCACATGGATACAGAAAGAAATGACGCTGTTAATTTATTACTCTGATTGTCACTCTGACTGACGCTGAGAATAAACGAATGAATGACTTGACAGTGTAAAGTTTTACTGCACACTGTAAAATGCTCGGCTTCGTGCAGACCTCAACTCTGCGAGACACAATAAATCAGTCGGCTGGTTACATTAGTCCTGATACACATCGCTGATATTCATTACAGGCATGGGTATCAAGTCCACCTATTTTCGCCTCCTTTCATCCAAGGTGACATGGAAGCGCGCAAAGTGCCCAAATTCCTGCCGCTCTCATTGAGCCGCTGCCAAAGTCCCACCGTTAACTTGGGTTTCTCCGACTCAGCAGGTGTAGGGGAACGAGTCCCAGCTATAATCAGCCACAGCCATCCAGTGTTTGATGCAGCCTGCTAGGAAACTGACTAAACAAACTGTATTAATAGCTCGCGCTGCAGCCATGACTCTGGAATCTGAGGCTTGAATTGCCAGAGGGTAGGGAGACCCCACAAAAAGAAAAAAGAAAAGCACAGGGGAGGGAGGGAGAGTGTGAAATGGTGAAATAGCGAAAGAGAGAAAGAAAAACACAGACAGCGATTGGTCAATTGAAAGATCGCGGATATTTGCCGGATCACAGGTGAGGTGGTGTGAATGGGAGATGTAAGCTGTAGCTCGGCGTGTGCGCAACAGCCAATATGTATTTATGTAAGCAAAGTGAACCCGAGATTTGGTAAATGGAACAAATGAAATCCTATATCCATGTCTGCATAACTAACAAGGCCTAAAAGCTAAATCCATGCCGAGCTAGCAGACAATGCAGGACAATACAGGATGGACCCAGGGCAGTTTTCTAAAATTAAATCAGCAGTACTGCGCCGATTTGAGTCGTGGTCGGCAACTTTTAGAGGCACTTTGCCCGTGAGGTTTTGGTTCTGTTGCAACAAATTCAAAAGAAAAAGACCATGTGGCTTGATGTTTTGGGCCTCATCAAAAACAGAGCCATGGACAGCCTCTGGTGCTGACAGTAACTTTGCAAAATAATGTATGCTTAAGGCTGCATAGAAATAAACCCTGAATTAACAAACCAATAAGAACACGGACAGACTTTGAATCACAGACGTGCATGCTCAAACGCATATTTTCGAGACATTAAATGTATGCACCACATGTGTTTAAGTTGCAGCAGGGTATATTTATGTTGCATACACACACAAAAAATCCACTTTATATCATTACCCAGAGTGGGTCAAGATGTTTGATTGGATCAAACAGGCTGCAGTTTTCTCTGGTGTAACTCTATGTGATGGAATGAGGTATAACTCTGCCAAAAACATGACCTACATTCCCAATGAAGGTGTTGACATGCATGGAGATGCGGATCCTGGGGCGTTCAACAGCTCAAATGGCAATACTATGGATATCATTATTACTTGAGACTTTCTGAGAGCTCTTCACAGGCTCTTCGTGCAGACCCAGATTGTCATTACAGCATATTCTACCGCCAAAAAAACAGACAGGCAAATATTATTTTCGTCGCGGGTTTCAGGCATGTTTAAAAGAGATCAATGTCAAACTGAAATCCCAAAGTGCTGCAAACTTCAGTCCCTTCGTCCAGACAAAGCTTGACTGGCTTGAAAAAAGTTAATCTTTTTTAGCCTTCATTACCGTCTGGCGAGGTTCGGGGCACACTTAGCCCAGCCTTTTCCCGTAACAAGACCGCCTTTTCTTTACAGCAATTGGCTATGAGCACGTCAGTCAACAGCATCTGATACACGCAAAGCCTGGGATCCTGTCAATAACACCGCTCAGCCGAATCTTATTGGTTAAAAGCCCGAAATCAACTTTTTGTATCCACGAGAAGAAAAAAAACGAAAAAAAAAAAAAAAACTAATGGCTAGCTGGTGTGGCTAGCGTTAACAACAGGCCGAACGCACATTCAAAGTGAGTAATAACAGCGCTACTACCAGCTCCGACGATCACAACAAACACTCGCCGACACTTATTTAATATCACCCGAAGTGAGCTGCTGTGTTTTACGGGTGTTGGGGGCAGTCGAAAAGCACGAAAGCAGCGGGGGTGAGAGCTAGCAGTGAGTTGGTTAGCGGACTGACACTTGAGTGCAAGGCGAGACAGTGGGTCCGAATGAAACGTTGTAAGTGCCACAATAGTTCAGACATTTACACAGACCTGTGCTTTTAACAACGACTAACGCGCAAAACTGGCACACCGAGCGCTACTTTCTCATAGTTTAGTGCAGTCGACATATCTATGGCGATTAAAAAAGGGTAATAAAGTGTTTACAAACTCACCCTTGCGCCCCTCTCTCTGGCTCCCCTCTCCTCTCCTCTCTCTTGGAATTTGACACTCCCCTTGACGTCGAGTCATCGCGAGATTTCATATCAGTTCTCGTGGTGGGACGTGAGGAGATGTGTCCAGACCTTGAGAGGAAGAAGCTCTTGACTTTGTTGGCTTTGTGCTTTAATATTTTACTAACCTGGAGAGAGATTGGAGGTATAACACAGGAAGATATAACCTCTGTCAGCCCAGATACAGGATACAAATACACCAGTTGTGTCCTCACTATCAAAACGTGTGAGTGACCCAATCTGTATACTGTAATAGTTAATAGTCATTTTATTTGCAAAAGCACTTTTCAAACTTTATATTTAAACATATACAAAACAGAAAGTACAATCAGAAACCCAAGAGCCCCCCCGCCTGGAACCACCAGTGAACACACAAAAGTGACAAGTAATGTTAATAGAAAATAAAGAGTAAACTGATGGTACTAAAACTAGACTGACTAAAAATCATTATGACATAAAACACCATAAAATAAAATACATATGTAAATAATGTAATGTAAATAATATATATGGAAATGCTAAATCCCTAACCAGCTCACAGAATTTAATAGGTAATACTTTAGTACGATAACATATTATAAACACTGAATGGGAAAAACTGAAAGTGTAAATGACTGAGTAATTCCCCTCATAATAATAAATTGTTCAAAAGAATCACATCTCTCTCTATATATATATCTATTAATTGGGTGAGTGATATTTCAGACTGGGACCAATCAAAGGTGTCTTCCTAAAAGACAAGTGAGTTCATACAATGTGATTTAGATGTTGTACTGATATTGAACTTTTTTTAAAAAGTTGTAATTTAAAACTTTAATTTGATAATATTTGTGCACCATTTCTTAACTACAAGTGATTGATTGTGTAACACATATTTGTTCTGTTATACGACAGTATGTAAAATACCATTAAAGATCAATATCTGTTAGTTTTATCATCCTTTAGGTCAGTGGTTCTCAGACTGGGGAGGGAACAGAGCCGCTGCAGGGATGTGTGGAAGATATGGAGTGGAACAAAGTGAGTGAGTGAATATGATTTTTGAGTTTGCTGAAGCTATAATTGTGTTGACCTTTATTTCAGCTTGGAATCTTTTTATTAGTTCGCAAATTATTATTAATGATTGATACAAATTGTGGGGGCGTGAACTGAAGGGGAGCATGCCAGAAAAGCTTGAGAACCACTGGTTAACGTCTCTATCTCCTTCTGTATTATTATTAGTAGTAGTACTATTGTTGTTGTTGTTGTTCTTTTGTCCCTTTTACAAGGGTTCTGAGTTTGTTTGTCCCTACCCAAATCCAAGGTCTAAAGATAGAGGGTGTCATATACTGGACAGATTTTAAAGTTATTTTGTAGTCACACACTGTGGCTACTTTTCTCTCTCTTCTCTACTAAAGTGGTAAATATTATATTTATTCTATTATTTATATGATTTATGATTAATTAAATTGTTGCATAATGTGTCACAATTCACACAATGAGGATGAGGGGGGTCTTTTCCCCTCTTGCTTTGGTTTCCTTCCTGATATTCTCACCCTGTTCTCTCTCCTTGGAAGTGGACGTCCTGACTGTGGCAGAACACGGCAGCGTGGTGTACAAGCCTAAAACAACAGGCCAAAATATTACAAATAGGCTACGGTGGTTGAACTTGAGAATGCATTGAGTATTAAAGACGAGGCAGCTGATGTAATCCACAGCAACTGTTACACAACATCGCAATTTCCCTCCAATATACAAGTCACACTAAACATCCCATTCAGAGGCTGTTTAACAAGCCAGTGAATGTGAATTCAGAGACAAGGCTTTAGAGACCCCCAGTGGATAACCAGAGAACTGAATGTGCGCAGGTTAACCTTTGCATTATTATTATCATCTATCAAGAAGAGGAAGATCGGGGAGATCAAATGACTGTTGCATTATGTTTTGCCAAAGTCAAAATGTCAAAATAAATGTTAAATTCCTGTTCAGCTGTCATTTATTGTCTCCTCTTGTATCATTTTTGCTCAAGTATTTAAAACTGGTTAGAAACAGCTCCAAGTAACAGTCCCGGCTGTAAATTTATGACACTGTTTCTCATATTTGAGCCCCTCTGACCCTTTACGTGTAATGACTGTGATTCAGTTTAATTAAAGTACACAGGCACTATGTGATGACATCTGTATTCAAACCTAATCACGAGCAAGAAAACGCAGTTCAACCGTAATCTAGCCTTTTCTTTACTAAATCAATATTAAATCTGTTGTATATATTAATGATCTAGCAGATATAAGTTATATATTCTAACATATCAAATGATTAAATTCTTGATTTGGATGTTCTTTACAGTGTACAGTGTATGTAAACTTTAATTGTCTAAAGCGTTGAGCCTTGATAACTTGATTTGGTAATCAAATCACTGGCAGTGTAATAAAAGTGCAGGAGAAGCACAGGTGTGAACAATAAAACAAGTGAGGGCTGAATTCCATTTAGCTGCTTTGGCTTCAGGGTCCTGGTATTTTGCACGCGGGCTCACTAGAATAGAACTGAGCCATTGTTAATGTTATTAGTGACACCTCTGCTTTTCCTGCCCGTACAAGTTAAAATGTCTGCTGTGAAAAAAGAGCTATGCAAATAAAACCTCCATCCGAATCGCCTGAATAATTTGAATGTGACAGTCAAAGTGTTTTAGTGTTTCATAGTCTACTACAGCTCATCTTTTAAAGTAATGGTGCTTCATTTTCAAGTGTTAGTTATTACAGCAGTCTGTGTAATCTTAATGAACAATGAAGAGAGAAAAAAGAGATTGGGATATACTGTAAAGGCATTTACTTTCATTACGTTGACAAAGAAAAAAAAAAGCACTTTTGCTGTACACAAGACATGATCTAAGGAGTTAATTTTTTATACAGAACAAGCATCAAAACAAAATCAAGCACAGAAAAGGTCAGATTTTAGACAGATGCCATAACAAACGTAAATACATTTCGCAAGCTTATTTAGTGATTCGTTCAAGGACAAAAACTTAGTATTCATGCTATTTCATGGTTCTAACATTAATTTAAAATAAAGTATATTTTAACATAGGCTGCAAAATTCTGGACGAGGGAGCACCCTTGAAAACGTCCATTGTTAAAAAAACAAACGAGCATTTTATTCCTCCTTGGCAACTGCAACTGCACCCCTCATTAAAATAAAGCCCAAATAAATAGGAAATGACAGCAGGCATGTTGACATCACTCTTATCAGCGTTGAACATTTTCAGAGGACTAGATGGAGGCAAAATGAGTGAGGCCGCCACATTTTGTGAACCAATCTGTCAAATCAATGATATTATTCTGCAACTTTTTGTTGCTTCTACATAACAATCTTTATATTTATATTTTATTTTTTGTTTATTCTTCCCTTGGAATTTCAAAATTCCTTGCATTGTGAGTTCACCGGGACGTCATTGAGAGAGAGATGGCCACTTCAACTATCATACTAACTACATAGCATTCGTTCCCGAGCACTACTTCAGGAACTGCATCATCAGACATTATCCCTCATTCATTAAACCTCTAACGTTTAAATCTACTCTTACAATGAGAATATACACATTTTAAACACCAAACTCAATAATATTTACGTTTTAAAATGTAATAACCAATACATAATTGTGAATTTTACATACAGAAGAATTATAATAAACCTAGTTAAAATTTGAAAGATGCACTGGCTCTTTATGAACAGATGGATGATTGAACACAACTATCTTCATGTTGTTGTTCGATGTTGTTCCTTTCTGTAATGCATGCGCGGTGGGCCGAGAAATAAATAAAAAACACGGACTGGTGCAGTCTTTGTCCAACAACTGACACTTATCAAACTCAACAATCTGCTCATTTAGATGTTGTGCAACCACTAGATAATTAAAAAAAGACTAGAAGAGGTTTTTCCCGCTGCACAAATCTATATTCATTTGCAAGAAGGTTTGATTAATGAGGGCCACTGTCAGACAATATCCTATGTTTCAACCGACTTTCTTGCCAATAAATGCAATGTGATTAGCTGTCTAATGATTTCATCACCTCAGTCCCTCAGCAGTAAATAGTCTTTGATAGTCTCTGGTAAAGGAAGCTCTTTCACAGCAGTTGGGAGGAACTGGACTCCGAGACTCTGCCGGACAGCACAGCGCGCCAGAGAGCGAAGCGTAGGAGCCTGAGCCACCATGTTGGTCAGCCTCGCCAGGAGCTGAGGATCCTTACTCAGCTCCCTGGGAAGGGTGCCGTCAGCCCGTCGTATCTCAAATCGCCCTGCCGCCCGGCACAGCAGCTCGAGGCACTCCTCCTCCTGTTCGGTGCCCAGGCCCCGGGCCAACAGAGCCACCAGTCGGGAAATAGGCGTCTGGCCCTTCAGGTTGGTCACGTGGACCTGGGCTCCATAGTCTAATAGTACTTTGACACTCTCCAAGTTGCCCTTCATTGCTGCCCAACTCAAAGGCGTGTCATTGTTGTAGTCCCGTGCATTGGGACAGGCCCCGCTCTCCAGCAGAGCCCTCACACACTCTGGGTTATCTTTGAAGGCGGCCCAGTGAAGTGGGGTGTCCTTGTTGCCATCCAGGGCGTTTGGCTGGGCGCCGTACTCCAACAGCAGCTCCACGCAGCTCTCATCCTTTTCTGCCGCATAATGCAGTGCTGTGCGGTTATATCCATCCAAAGCATTCACCTGATGAGGAAATGTAATGTAACGATCAATCTTATGCTAAGGAGTTAACAACACAGAGAGTCATATTTTAATCGTGCAAGAGCAACGACCAGCAGAAGGTGTTAGGTCTCACATGGACTGTGCAGCTGCTGTTTTGGTTCATGTATGTGCAGCAGCCCTAAGTGCAATTTAAGGCAGCGTGAAGTCGAATATAGATTGGAGGGCGTGGTGATTGAGCACCAAAATACCACACAGACGAGCAAAGCAATTTTAAAAATACCAAACTCCTGTTACAAAGAAATGAAACTACTTTCTACCAAATAGACAGTCCCAATGAAAACGGTGGACGGGGATTACCTAAAGTAAGAGGGTGCTGTTGAATTTAATTTGTTCATTTAATTATTTTTTGTTTTACATTTGCCTTCATTTGACAGTCAAATAGTAAATGTAAAAAAGGTCTCTGGCCAGAAGTGAACGAGGGATGTTATGTGGCATTCACGCTCATCATCATTTAGGTACCCGAGCAATCTGCTGTCGAATATTTGAGTTACTTTTTCGATTGCAATGACCACCAAAAACAAAATGTTGGTCGCCTCCTTTGTCTACGGGTGAAGGCGGAAATCTCAAAAGATAAATCAAAAGACCAAATCTCTGAGGCCAAATATACGGCAGGAGTATTATTAGGATTCACAAATGCAAATTTCCTATCTTTTAGGCAGCGACTGGTTTCAATTGATGACAGTGCAGTATGACACTGACACTCTGTCTGACACTACTATAATAATACTATAATATGACACAACTCATATTCAGTTTTTGTTTCTGTATTGAACAAACCAACAGGGAAACACTTCTCCTGTTCACACCAGGCATCCATGTTCAGTGTGACAGATTATCACGAGCAAGCTTCAACTCCCTGCAGGTTGACTTTCGTATCATACAGTGGCTGTCTGGAAGGTAGGTAATGGATCAAATATCTTGTGGTATGCTTTGGGAAATTGTCCCGTGTGTAGAAGTCACCTATGACATACCTCTGCCCCTTTCTCCAACAACAGCTCCACGCAGTCGGCATCAGCGACCATACAGGCACAGTGCAGGGGCTTAAGTGTGCCGTGCATCCGGTTCACATCAGCTCCCTTAGGCAAGCAGAAGATAATGATATCAGTGTATAACAGATGACACTAAGCGACAGTATTTATTGAAGTCAGGCTGAAAGATGACCAGACTTACCTTACGAATCAGATCCTCCACATTGTCGTGTGGGAATGAGCGGATGGCTGCGATGGTGCGGATGAGCCGCTCAGACAAGGAGTATTTACTTTGAATGCTTTGCATGATGTACCACATAGTAGAGCTCATGTGTAACTGAGGACCATGGCACCCGGGCAGGGGTGACACAACGGCACACTGAAACAGATTTTTCAAGAAATTGGGAGTTAAAAAGCCGTAAGACACAATGATAGAGATCCTTGAGCCTAAAGGAAATGTACCAGAATAAAATATATAAAATATAAAATACTCTTTGTATTGTTAGGTAGCTGCTATTGTGACTATTTCATTATTACATGTTGTCTGTTGCTTTAACATAGAAATACATGTGATTTCGATAATAACCCACTTGTTGATCTTTAGATTGAACTTGCATGCAATATTGTAGGATGACAATCATGAACGATTGATTTTATTACCAGATTAACATATTTAACATATTTAAGAAACTATCATTTCACCCCGTTGTTTGATCGACATCAATTTAACATTAAATACATGTTAGGCAATCTAGAAAGAGTGTATGCTTGTATTATCTAACGTTATCCTGACTGCTGACTGTCAGCAGGGAACCAGCAACCTCAGTTAAGTTAAGTTAAGTTAAGTGACACCTAAACGTAAACAAATGACACTGACAGCTAACGTTAGCTCACTTTGCAGAAACATGCTAGACAACAAAAGAAACCAACATACAGTCTGTAACACTAATGCACACTGCACACCAGGTGACAACTTCAAAAAGTAACACATTAACACAGTTGGATCACAAGAGCTACTTGACGGGCTGGTTTAGAGAAAGACAACACTATATCCCGGGCTACGTTTTCACCGGCTGACAGCTAAGTTAGCTAATGCTAGCTGACGAGCTAACGTTAGCATCGAGATGCTAAGAAGAATCGACACTCGTAGGCGGAGAAAAAACAAAAAAACAAAACAAATGGCATTTATTTTAAACACTCGTGAACGCGCTCCGAAATGCACCTCGCATTAACCATCGATAAACGACCGATGTCAGTGAGACCACGTACCGTTTATGGTCCACGGTGTGAACGTTTGACGGTTACCGTGTTGACCGTCGGCTGCTCGGTGTGACATAAACACAGGACGTCACCGCTCACGGCCACGCCCTCCGCCTCGAGCCTCCGCTGCCTGTATTTAAACCCTGACGGAGCCAACGATTCGCTTTATAGTTCGCGTGTTTGGTCGCTTTAGTTCGCTCTATAGTTTTGTCGCTGTATTGTTTCCTTTATATGTTCGTCTTTATACGCTCTATAATTGTTCGCTGTAATTGTTCGCTTTATGTTCGCGTTATTGTCGCCACGCTCGTGCTAATGCACACTTACTTTCCGCAATATATGACATGTATGGCGGCACCGCAGACATCCACCGGCGTGCCTCAACATGGTCATGAGCTGAAGGTACCTCCTTGTTACCATGTTGAGGTAACTTACAGTGAACTACTACTGATCACTGAGGGCTGACAGCTCGGGCAGCCAGATACTAACACACCATAAAACAAGGAAGTCATACTTTTATATTTAGTCTGGGACTGAATGTGTTACAGTGAATATTATAGGCTACTTAGAGCTGCAGTTATTTATTGATTGATTGTTTTTTTTATTCTATAAAAGA